GGGGCGGGAAGCTTAGCTGCCAGCTGGGGTTAAACCACGACAGGCTTTCTGATGGGAAGAAAGGTGTTGAAACACAAAACACAAGTTTCCATGCCAATGGAGAATGCCTGAACTTTACTTTGAACTCAATTCCTCCACAAATTGAGTGTCATGGTTTAACGCCACACCCTTGCCAGCGGGCAGATCTGCCTAATTTATTCCTTTTACGAGAGTACAAAAGTTGTTATCTGTGAAAAGAATAATTACAGATGGAATTCTAAAAAGTGTAAGCCTACTTAAGCAAAACCAGTAATTTTATTTTTTCTGTTAACATGATATATATATATATATCTCTCATAATATATTAATTCTTCTTTTGGGCTTTTTATACTCTGTAACAACAGCTTTTTTAAGTGGAAAATTGTGATTATAGGCTTAGCTGTGCACGAATTGCTTATCCGTTTTTGTAGTACAAGAAGTTTCTGTCCTCTACTGGTAATATCAATTTTTAATATTAACTGTAACAAATTAATTCACATGGGAAATGTTGTGGTTTCTTCTGGATTACAGGGGTTTTTTTGTTTGTTTGTAGAACCCTTTGGTGAATCTTCCTCTGTCATATACTAATTTATAACAACGTTTTCTAATCTAATTTTAAGTATCACAACTACAAAAAAGTAAAATGCATATATTAATTCTACCTTGAAGGACTGAATACAACAACAACAACAAAAAAAATCAACTAAAATTGAAGGTCGCTTCATACTGTGCTAAGTTAATACACTGACTAGCACAATTACAGAAAGACAGCATACCCTTCGTGCTTTACTTTTATATTTAACTGCCTTTTTTGTCTCTTCTTTTGCATGTTCCACGTAATCTGATGCATTCATCACGTTCTTTTCTATGTTGTTGATCATTTCACCCTTAAAATGAAATTTTTAAGAAAAAATTTTATTATTGGAATCCATGGATCCTTGTTTAATGAACCTAAGAGAAGAAAGGCTATAGAACATCAGCAATTACTTTAAACAAGTGAATAATGTACATATTAGTGGCTGACATTTTTTCTGCTTTGATGTGTAAAGGAAAAAGGGAATGAGAAGCAAGGGCTCAAAGTTCTAACCAAACAAGGCACGTTCATGGGCAAGGCAGACATATTTCTCCCTTTTGCAGGAAAAAATACTGAACACCTGAAAACATACCTGTCAACGTGAGGTATGTTTTAACAGCCAAAACTAAAACTGACATACTAAAGAGATCAGAAATCCCTGACGTGCCTGGAAGTGGGAAAGGACATTGACTATTTTGACACAAGGTTCAACAGTTATCTAAGAAAACGCACACATATAATAGCAACTTCAAAAGTTCCTCAGAACTGAGGGTTTAGAATGTCAGTACATAACAAATTCAAATTAATTATGATGAATGAAATTTGGTAATGGAATGGAGGATTGGTGAAAAATTACAGTCTATTACCTGTGTTTCTGTCCATCAGAAGAAATAATCAGCAGCAGTAAACAGCAAAGCATTAAAGAATGATGCACAAGTAACTTTTGTTCATTTCTAATTCAAAAGAAAACTGCTACCAATTTGCCTTGGCTATATATTTTATATCAAAGCAACACAAGACTTCTAGAACAAAACCCAATTAAAAAAAAATAATAGTCCTTTTCAGGAAAGTTTCTCTCCTGAACATTATTCTTTTCACTCCCTGCATAAGTCAAAGAATTTTAAGAACAGAAGTTAAAAATATTTTTGTTAGATAATTGGTATGTAAAGACTACAAATAGAACGAATTTATGTACGTGTCAAGACAAAGCTTATGAATATAAGAGATGACTTGAATGACTTATCAATCCCTTTACATTCATGTTAGTTATAACAGTAATCATACCTTTGTATTAAGTGCAAGTTGCATACATCCTTGCTAACGCACATTTTATCTTATCACAGTAGTCCTTTACCATGTCTGTGAGAATCCTAAATTACCAAGATATTAGCCAACATTCCAGGAGTGTTGTTCTTACTTAAACATGCACAAAATGTTCAAGCATATCGCAGTATAAGCATGCTGAAGAAAATAGTAAGTATACCAACTGAAAAGAAAGTCTATGCTTAGTTATTCATAGCATATACTACGAATACATCTAGATTATACATTTGTCTAAAACCAGAAAACCTTTAGTGATTAACTTTTATATATTTAATCAGTCAAAAAACACTGTAAGTCTGTATTATCTGAATATAAGCAATTGTTTCTGCATATTTCAAAGAGGAAGACTGGGGAAAAAAATCCCACTTACGTAAATGTGTTTGAATGGATTCATTTACCTGAGTCTCAACAAACATTGCCATGTCCATAAACATTTCATGTAGTTCCCGTATGCTAGATTCCAGTTTCATAATATCCTTGTGACGTGACTCAATTTCATTCAGAGCTTGCCTAGTTATTTGAGAGTCTGATATAATCTTTGGGAGGACAAAAGAAGATACAGACATAAATAAGTATGTGCTGACACACTTCTAAATAGCAGAAGCAGCAGAATAGAAGAGAGACATAACCGGACCAGAAATACATACATCAGAAGTGAAAATTGAAGGATTACCACTCTCTAACATTTCTTCCAGTTCCTCATCAGTGGTGGTCTTTCCAGCTAGAATAAAAACAACAGTACTTCACATAACATCACTTACTCATTATTGAACACAAAATTTTACCATACCAGAAGGATGACAATTCAAAGAAAATTCTTGTATTGAGCATTTTTCAGGATAAAACAATGTAGTGTTTAGCCATTACCAAATGCCATTTTGCATATGAAACAAACAGAAAATATCAAGTCATAGTCAGAAAACAAATGTAGATTCAAAGCTACGATGAAGAATTCCTGGTTGGTGGGGGGTTTTTTGTTGTTTGTTTTGGGGTTTTTTTGTCAAATTGAAGAGTTTGATCAGAAACATTTACAATGTACATATGAACCTCGTTAAGTGGAGTGTTCTTCAGAAGGAAGAACTTGAGATACAGAGTATTTACATAACTTTCAATATTTACCTATTCGATCATGTCACATTGGCACCTAATTTACTTGCTCCCCACCACTGTGTGGGCAGTAAAATCTTTACGTAAATTTAATTTTACCAACACAGGATTACATTCATATTCCACACAGAGATGATTGCCCATAGCGTACCTTCACTTCTACTTTTCATAAAATTTCTAACAATTGTAGTTTATTATTGCATGTTTAAGCAAACTGAATCCTATTGATGACGCTGGCATGACAAATGCAAGTGTTACGAGTTACACATCACATTCAAGTGATTTGTATTGTACAGTTTTAAAAATTACGTATCAAATCCCTGTTCTTCCCATGTAAAATAAGTTCAGTATCTGTAATAACTTATATAATTCTGTCCTATCAGATGAAAGTTACAGTTTGAATATTACTTTCTGATGTTAATACCCAAGAAAGCCGCAAAACCTGCTTTATCCTTTAAAATTTTTAGTGCTGAGGAAAAGCTGAAGGCTCTAATTGGGTCATAACAACATTAACTTAAAAGAACTGTGTCCTGAGGTATTAGGGTCCCTCCCCTCAAATGTATAGGTAAAGAAGAATTTAACTTGCCCAATAAACTTTACCGAAATGCTGAATTGAGCCATTAGCATGAGAGGCTAATGACAAATTTGAGAAGCACATGAAAAGCGAAGTCTTCTTATAATTTGCCAACTTTTCTGTTTGCATTTCCTATTTCAGCAATGTATGTATTTACTTTTACAGGAGATATTCAAAAAGGCTAATTTTAGGTACAAGATGTTACGGATTTTTTTCAACACCTTCTGAGGTAGATGCCGTAGTTCAGAGTAGAGTCAGATACCTTTCTGAATACTCCTCGTAATAATCAATGATAAAGTAAGTCAAATGTGAGTCAGTCAAGAAATGATTACAGTACATGTAACGGCAGCACTGATTTTATGTCAGCTGAATTTAGCAAATGTTCTTATTGACAAAAATAGAAGAGCATAAAAAGGGATGTTGTCCTGTTTAGCATGTTAATTTTAGAATGGTTTTTAATAACACTTACTGTCTTCAGAACACAGCTTTTCTTAATGTTTCGTTTAAAGTTGCAACATTGGAAATAAATGAAACAAAGGAAAAAGGTATTTTCTTTAATAATTTTCAACAAAAAAGAAATGATTTAGTGAGTTTTCTCTATTTTCTTTACAGCTGTTCTGAAAAGTAGCATCAAAGAATTTATGCCATATGTTAAAATTGTTTCTTTTCCCTCACATGCTTCAAGAAGATGTCCAAGACATATGATGCTTTGTACCATCTTTAAGCAGTAAGGAACAAGGGAGGTACTAACAACACAATTAATCTTTTTTTAAAAAAGTGTATTCAGGCCACTTACTTATCTCTAATTGTCTCTGTATCCGACCTTTGCTGCGTTCTCGAAAAAGAGTTTGGGTCTCGTTGTATTCCGTCATGACCTCCACAAACTTGTGAGCTAATACAGAGTGCTGTTTTTTGAGGATTTAAAAATGTGGAACAAAAACGTTTATTTTTTTTTGACACAGCAAATACTACTGCACAACAACTGAAAGTGTTATTTACATTCCAACAAAACAGAACATGAAGTTCTGAAACTATTTCAGAAAAGTGAAACTCATTCTTCAATTTACTAGAATCCTTTTATTTTCTTTAAACTTATTAAGTAATCATACCTGTGTTTTTCTTATCCTGAGGTCCGCTGATGTCCGATTAGCATTTTCACCCTGATCAAAACTTTGTTCAATAGCTAAGAAAAATACAAGAACATTATGAGTCAATGTTCAGTGTAATTATTTAATAGTGTAGCTCAGTTACTTTGTAAATACTAGTAATTATTACTTTTTTTCACGTACAAGCTCCCCACAGATATGCTTAACATTTCTGGGGGAGGAGGACTGGCAGAGAGAGAGATATATATTAAAAAATAATTAAAATAATTTCAATAATTGGTACAGATCTTAAAACACAGTAACTACTTCAGTAGGAATTGCATACAATTTATGCATACATAATACAGCTTTTAAAGTTTAAAAATTCAGCTGCAGTGCATTAAGTTCGTAACACTGCTACCATCCTGAATCATTACAAGAGACAGTAGTTTTATTTCTCCTCACAACTTACCCTTTAACCTGGCTCGGATTTTACCATCTACAACTCTACCTTGCTTGTATTCAGTACAACCATGCACTTATTATGCTCCTAAGTACTTTAAATATGATTTTTGTAACAGCATACTATCAGAGTCCTGCTTCTTATGACAGGCCCTTACACTTGGCAAATGTTATTACCAAATCACCAACTAAACCAGGTGATAAAATATTCCACGTTTTTTGTTAACATAACACTTCCAGGGTAATATTCCTTTGCTGGTTAAAATGAAAGTTCACTGAAGTCTATCAAGTGAAAATACAGATTTATCTCACATTTTTTTAGTTCTGTTGTTTATTACGGACTCACTGCTTTTGCCCTTATAAACATAACTGTACCATGCACTACCTATATTTTTTGAAGAATACTATACAGAGTATTCATGAAGAACTTTGCTAGATCTCTGTTATTGGGTTTACTGAAGACACTAGATTCACAAGAGCACACATTAGTTACAAGCAATGTCATGTTCCTACACAGTTCAGATGCATTAATAAGCACAATTTTTAGCACAAACACAAGCTGATAAATGATCTGAGACTACAGATTTTAAACATTCAGATGAACCCTTATTAAACCTGAGATTCACTGACTGTATATGGTTAAGACAAAAAGCAGTCCACAAAATCATGTTTAAGAATACAAACATATGCCCATCCATAAACAAAGAAAATAGGGGGAAAAAACCTAATATCCGAAGTTCGGTTTTCATCAACAAAAAGATAAGTGTAAAGCTAGTGTCGCAACATTGCACAAAAATATCTCAGCATCTTTTCTTCCCTTTTCTTTGAACGGTGCCCACAAACCCAGGCATGCCTTGAGTTAAGAAGTGTTGAGAACAGAGAAGGTTCCATGTTTCTGGGTAAGTTCCCTAAACTTTCGAGTTCTCTGTTCAGAAAGCACATCTTCACTTTCAGCTTTGGGGTTACAGCGTCTAAAAATAGGGCTCCAGCATGGAACTCTTACTACCACTGAAGCAGCTGGCTGTAGCGTTAGATGGGACCTTGCCCTTACTGAAGAATAAAGAGAAGATGATGGGTTTACTGTGTGAGCTTCAGCTGACAACTTCAACATTTTCACAAATCAAAAGAAATGCAAGTAGCCTCTAAGTTTCTGAAGACACAATCAATTTCAAGATACTGTATTAAACGAGTTTTGGTCTAGCAAAGGTTTGGATGATGCAACAAATATTCTGAAAATGTACTTATTCAAATGAGACTTAGAAAAGGTAAAAATAAGCAAATGAAAATATAAATTCAATATTAAATGGGAATATTTAAATAAATAAACGGTGTTACATTTTGCATTCTGAACACCTGAAGTTCTATTCCTATAGATAGCTAAAACAAAAATATTTATTTCAGAATATCTAGCCACACATATCTGAAATCTAAAAAAAAGTGATACTCACTTCCTTCAGGATTTGGTGCTGAGAGGATAATGCTATGCTGCTTCTTCACTTCTTCCACATTTTGTGCTATTTTTGCTATATTATTTCTAAGTTCCTCAACCTAGAGGAAGAGAAATATGGCAATGAAAACATTATAGGAATTCAGGGCAAAAAAAATCGTAAAGTATTTCATTGCAACATTTGTAACTATCTGACAGAAATCCCAGCAAAAATGTTGACATTTAAACAGCTTGCACTTTTTTTTAAGAAAAAATGGTATTCTTAATAGCAAATATGTTCTATATGGCCAAAAACTTAAGTGATACTATTCTTAATAAAAAAGATCTTAAAATTCTATAAGCAAATTCCTTGTCGATAGGGAGTCAAAACCACTTCTATGCAGTAAAGACAGAAAATACCCTGAAATAAACAAGCAAAAGCATTACCAACATTTGATTTGGCATACCATTACAAAGCTTATTGGGGGGGGTGTGTGTAGATGAATTGTGAACCTAATTGCAGAAATTAAAAGGCACGGAAAGAAAACTGTAAGGCTTTAATACATGGTGAAAACTGTAACTTTACCTGTTGGAAAAAATCATCCATAAAATGGTCTTTTTCAACAATAACTGTCTCCCCATCTTCATTTCCTTTACACTGTAAAAGACAACAAAACAAATCTATGAAATAAAACTCAGGATACTGTTCTGAAACGACGATGACTTCTTCCACATTGCTACGGCAGACACGGTTTTGTCAATAGTCTGCAAAGTCAAAGAAGTAAGTTTTCCTCTTCTGAGGACTCTAATCTAAAAACAAATAAGCAGAGAGGTCAAAGAAAGTCACCTGACTACCATGAAGTTGTGAATGCTAAGGCATGTACTTCTCCGTAAACAACTTCAGGACAGAACCAGTCTGTAAGTGATGCCACAGTTTTCATCACCTGTCATAAAAATTATGAAAATACAATTTGGCATGTAAGTGTTCTCTCACAGCATAAAGATACTTCCCCAGTGAGTCCCACAGGAACTGAAAATAATACTCGGTTTATTGAGACAGTAAATCAAACCCTCTCGAAGAAATACTAAGAGGGGTGCTGATGACTGACTTATTACGTCACAAGCTGAACGTCCAATGAAGGCTAGAACAAAAAGCTATCAACATCTGCTTACTAGCTTTGCCCTTGGGCGTTTTCAAGGCTGCCATTCCACAACAGTTTAGACATAATTATGCTACACTGAACTATACATGCATTACATAACTGATAAACCCTTAGAATAGCAGCCAAGGAGGCAGAAGCTCAAGTTGACAGGCTCTCACAGATCTCCAGGGCACACAGCCCAATACGTTCCCTGAGTCACACTTCCCTAGCCCTTGAGCCAACCCAGCAGAATATATGGATCTTGACAGTAACCGAGATTCAAATTTGCTCAAAGGAAGAGAGAATTAACATGCATCGTATAAAGGCAAAGACTTCCAGCTTCCATGTTCTCTAGTTCCCTCTGTAGAGGACACTGTTTGAACTGCATCGAATCAAAATTAGAACAAAATATTATTCTGCCATAAAGTCAACGGGTTATCTGTTAGGAAAAAAACCCTGCAAGACAGGTAACATCAAGGGATTTTCGTGTTCAAAGCTCCTGCTTTCTTACAAGCCCCTCTACCTTTGACCTTCTAACACCCACTTTCTGCTCCTAAACCCTGACCCTATTACGCAATAAGCCCTTTGTTTCTGGTTTTATTAAATTAGGTGAAATGTGTATTATTTGCCTGACAATTGTGCAGTTTAATCCAATGTCAAACACTGCTATTATCTGATAAAGAAGGTTATACTCAATGATGATCTACGCATCAAAATCTACTAAGACTGCCCCAAATCTTCAAGGAAAGTTATTACTTATACTTTGCGACAGTTCCTTTCCTGCAAATTCAGGGAGTGCATAAACTAGAACTCATTATTAAAGAATCTGTCCTTAGGGACTGTAATCAATTAACAGTCTTGCTTAATACAAATAAGCAAGGAAGTCTGTGCCCAAATAAAGTTACCCAACTTTTACCCATACCAGAGACTGCAGTGCTACAGAGCTGCCAGTTATAAGTTAATATTTAAGAATGAGCTACGCTTTAAAGACATTTAATTTCATTACCTGTGTAAAAGAACACTTTCTGCTTACATCTACTGAGTAAAGAATAATCTTTCTAATTATTTATAACCACATCCTCTATTTAGTCAATTGGACTAAAAATAATGAAAATAGTATCAGCTAAGAGATTCAGCATGTCAGCTTTTAGTTTGGTCAGAAGATCTTAGTAAAACATTAAACACCTGAGTGAATCTTAAACAAATGAAAGATACAAAAACCTTGCTCAGAAGTCTTGTTTGTGGGTGCTAGGCTGGAAAGAAGTAATCATGATTACCCACCCTGCAGTCAGTTCCTCCTTCATTTCACTTTCACACTTGGTTGCACTGACACCAACGACAGATCAGTTTGCTGTCTACAACTTGCTGAAGGATTTATGGACAGCCTACCCTGAACATTAGCACTTGAAAGACACCTGATGACTTGTCAACCTCTATTCTCTAAGTTCTTAAATCACCACCTTACCTAAAGTTGAAGAGAGTTAGCAAATAAGCTGTATTTAAGTGATGCACCTTCTTTTGACAAGCACACAATTCAACTAAGAACTCACTTTTGTCATCAAGTTTAGCAGAAACATATTGTTTCTCCTAGACCTCACCTCTTCAGTATCACAAAAAACTGATAAAAAGTGTCATGTCAATGCCAAGAGCAATGTAATGAAGTCTGTTTGCAGCTCGTACCTTGACCTTGGCACTGAAAGTCTGGGCCATACAACTCCATAAACATTCACAGACTTATATATCAAGTTCCCTCAAAAGTTGGTTTATATGACAGAATCCAGATATTCAGACAATATCATTTCTCAGCTCCAAGCAGGCGCTATCCTGATGGTTTATGAAACTTCTGACATTTCCCATACGTCATACAATTGCAGAAATAAGGCTAGCTTGAGATGTCTTACCAAATTAGTTACTGAACTTTGAAACTCAAAACAGCTTTTGACCTAAAACCATGACTATCGCTTGCCCCTGAAATTCCAATCAACGTTAGGTTTTTTTTCCTCAGTCCAGATCACCTGTATTCCTCTGGCAGGCTGCAAGGATAATAACCAACCACCATCATCCCAATGAATCAGACCCAAAGAGCGGGTTATAGCATTACTCCTTATAGCATCAGTGTTTCAAGAAATTCTTTTATATCAGAGTAGCCAAGGAGGGCTTACAGAGGGCCAAGATCTGTCAGGCAGCTTTGGCATTAACATGCATTTAGTAGCATTATTGTGCAACCAGAAAAACATCATATGGTAACTGTCTACAAGAAATTACTTTACACTGTTATGACATGGAAAACATACAGGTCATCTTCAGAAAAATTCCATGTTTGAACAAAGACTAACATAAGAGGTTAACTCAGGGGAAAAAAAAGAACTCAGTAATGTTTTCCTCCTTCTGAAAAGGATCCTTTTGCATTTTTTTCCGTACCACCCAATTCTACCAATTTTAACTTTTGTGACTTTGTGGTTCTTCTCTCATTCCTAAACAGTTTTGGGGGCACTAAGTGAATGCCCAAGAAATAGTTTACAAAAAAAATCAATGCAGTTCTGTTCAAGTTACAGGTCTTTGTTTAAAAAACAAAAAAGCTACGATCAAATATAAACATATTTTTCAAAGGTTATGTCTAAGATATCCTCAGTAACACTCAAGAGTAAAGAAATATAAAAAGCATGTATTTAAAATGATTCCCCGATCAAGCAAGAAAAATGGGATTTCAATAGAGAGCTCTGCATCCAATCTCGGCATATAACAAGATGGTAATTTCTGAGCCATATGAACAACCCACCCCAAACTTCAGATCTGAAACATCACACTTAAGCAGAGAAGGTTTACATCCTACCTCTTTCTTAAATGATGTAACGACAGTAACAAAAAAGTTTGAATGAGGTTTATTAACAGACTTTTAAAAGGACATCTGTTTTTAATATCTGACGCTGCCTGAGTGTGCTGAACTGAGTGTCTGAACACAGATCCTACAGCTCTTTTTAAGTCATTTTAGGATGGACTTGTATCCGTGAACAGCAAACCATTGAAGGCTGGGAGAATATTTTACACAATCATTGCTATGTACTTGCCCTGTTTTTTTTTTTCTTCCCTAAACATCTACTATCAATCACTGCTGAAAACAGCGTTGGATCAGAGAGAACCTTTTATTCTTCTTTTGCGCTCAAAATAACTAAAACCCGGCTGGGATTTGATCAATTGTCCAGTTAATTGTATTAAAATTGTATTAATTGTATTAAAGGACTATTCAAACAGATGAAATAAGTTCATTTTGGCCTGCTTAGAATAATTTAGAAACAACATTAAAATAATCCCCCAGAAGTGGACAAATACAATTATGGTTGCTATCTTCTGAAAATGCATGTACTTTACAGGACTTTTTCTAGCTAGAAAATAAGAGGAAGCAACATTATTTGAAGGCTATATAATCTGCATGTCTTCAACAATTTCTCCATAGTTATTCCTGAAGATTCCACAGGCCCAGGCCTGTTTAAAAACCACAACGTCTATGCTCTACCCTTCACTTAATGATTTAGCCACATAAAATACAATGGAACTACACTAACCAAACTGAAAGTTTGGAAAACAGGCAAATAAGTGTTAATACATTATTTCTTCAGATTATTTATTCCTTTTCAAAGCAATCTTATCTATGTGTGGTCAAGGATCACTGCTCAAAGCATTTATACTAGTAAGGGAAAAATCACTTCACAAAAACATGATCTTTTTTGATATTTCAGATAAAGATGTAAGATGGAAGTTGCTACTTCCATGAGTTCCCTGTGGGAGTCAAGTTTTACAAAAGCCATCTCCCTCGGGTATGCAACTTTTCAAAACTTCATGTCAACTACACACTTCTAAGTGATAAAATGTAGACTGGATCTTCAATAACTTCTACCTTCATTTGATGTTTAAATATTTTCTTCCAGTTAGAAGAAAACTTCAATTTTAAGTCTCTAAGGTATTTGTTAATTCTACAGGCAGTGAAAATTACGTTGATGAACATATGAAGCACTTCAGCAATACTGACCACTGTGTTTAAAGTAGTAGCTTGCTGCAGTAATGTTTCAGTTAAAGATGTAGCTTGCTGCAGTACAGTAATGTCTTCAGATGTCGAATACTAAAGCTGGCTTAAAACCCTCTATGTACAGTTGCTTTAAAAACTTTTAACAATATCTAAGGGGAGGGGGGTTTAGGGTTTGGGTTTTTTTAATTAAAAAACCCATACAACAGACCACTGCTGCTTCCCCTCAGTCAGAATGAAGTCTACATATTTAAGAGTATAACCTATAAAGCGAATTCAGACCACCATTTACTGCTTCCTCTTTCTGGGAAGCGTGTACCATCACTGAAATTTGGCACATATTCCTACAACCTGGACATGTTTAGAAATAGGAAAAGGGAAGAAGTATACCTGCAAGAACGTACACATTTCTTTGGCATGACTCCAAAACATCTTTCCTGGTAAAGATACTGTAATCTAATCATGCAAAAACTTTTCAGATACCAATTCATCCTTTTGGAGAGGATGACAAAGAGACTAGCAATTCCATCACTTAGAGATGGACCTTCCAAAATGTATTTTGTGGTCCAGAAGATACGAACTTAGTTTTAAGATGAACGAGCCCCAAACCTGCATGCAGCTCAACACAGGCCAACTTCTACATGTATGTGGAGTCCTAGAACTATCACAGGAACTCCTGTGTGCTCTCCATTTCTTTTCAGCGGGGAAAAAAAAAAAAGAGTCAAATATCTTTTTATTTTAACCAAGCCATATCCTGCTGAAGACACACATGATGGTACCTCCCTCCAACTCTCCCTTCTTTTTCAGGACACTGTTTTCAAAGCACAAATAAGGGAAAGGAAAAGAGCGTATAAACACAACCAGCTACCATTTTGTAAACACGCGGAAAATAAAGTCTGCAGATAGCTCTATTGACGCATTACTGGTTAAACAGTTCCCAAGCAGATAAATCTACCTCACTACACCACAGGCAGTTCGAAAACAAAATTATTATCCAGTTTATCTGTCATTCAAAGCGTTGACGTTTGAAACGCGTTAGAAGTT